TTTTGTGTTGTTAGGCTCATGTTAAATGTTTAAAAGAAGCTATTGAGTTCTACTTGGTGTTCTATGTCTCGCATCCTGTTGAGAAACACTATTTCTGCAAGTTCCTTTCACAAACTCGTCTGGCTATTACAACTTATGAACTATTGGTTAGGCATCAATGCTATACAGTTAACAGTTATGGAGAAATAGTAAGAATTTTCAAACAAGATATAAGCATTTTGAATGTAGTGGGGAAGATGTACTTAACTAGCTAAGCAGGAGATATAAAGAGTATCGCGGTTAAAAGCGGAGCAATAGATAACATTAAGGGGCCAAGGTAAGTCAATAGCGTGTAAGTGAGAACAGTATAATTGATAATAGGCAATGTGAAACTCACACAGTTGTAAGTGTTGATAAGATTGCACCCAGGAGAGTAGAGTGCATTCTAATCAACCAGTTTACAGTTGAACAGTGTCGATCGACCCAGTTAGTAGAGTAACCTGTCTATTTCAAATAAAAACTAAAGAGATTTATATTCAACTAGAATGATTTCACATGTTCTTGGGTAGGGTAACCAAGTCTACTGCAAATAACCAGACTAATATATGTGGATTGGAATAAGGTTCTGAAAAAAGAGGAATAAAGAAAACGGGACGAGGAGCAGAACAGAAAATATTCATGTTCAAAGCCGAACAACGGCTTCGCACATACGTTTATGGATAAAACAAAGGTATGTTTACCCAAACATTTTTAATATCAGAACACTTTACACCTGCGCTTATGTAGGTTAATGAAGACACTTCAGTAGTGAGATAACTAATGACAAGTTAGTCGAAAGAATCGAGGAAATTCAGAAGAACCAAGTTGTTAGTAATAAAGTTGATTTACAAAATATAATAAAGAGGATCAGTGATATAATTTTTTGGTTTTATTTATTCTTTTCATTTTTATCTCTGAGGCTCAAGAAGTTATGAATGAGCTCTTTTTTAGTATAGTTGTCCAGACCAGCTTGTAATAGGATTTCTCGGTAGGAAGTAAAAACCAGTGCAAGGTTACAGACATGGGTTGTAGACGAGGTTAACAAGGAAAAGTAACATCAATATCACTGATTTGTTACATCCTGCTATATCGTAAGGAGCCGTAAGCAAACAAAATGTTCTGCCACACAGACATGGGTAGATTGAGGTTATCGCCCCACCGTCATGAATGCTGGTCAGATACACCACCCTCCCATTATTCCCATTATTCATTCGCCATCGCCTAAACTATATGATCTAATTGTTTTCTGCTTCCTGATTTATATACCAGTTTTCAAAAGTAATAAATTGACAGATACATTTCTGTGTTTAATCTTATTATCCTTGGCACTCTGGCAGCATGACTGAAGTTACAGAGGTGGAAGACCAAAACCAGTCAGAAACCATGCGCATAAAACGCCACAAACCAATGAATGATGTGACTCGCTTTTCTGACACACTTATATAGACTGAATAGACAGCTTCATGAAGAAGAAAGATCTCTGTGTTAAATACTCTAAAACTGTAAACAAGTTCACAATTTCCATGTATGATTTGTACGTCCTATTTGTAGTCAAATAGTGGATCATGTTTAAAGTGTATACAAAAGCAACATGAAGAAATCTGATTTACTTCCTTGAATGACTCCGCCATTAGATGGCGAAAGAGGTCATTGTGATGCTGATGATCACAGTCCTGTCAGTTTCTCACTCATAATTTTATTGATCATTATAAGCCTGACCATAACTCTACTGGTTATTCTTCACGATTTCAATTACACATGTTATATTGCAAAGGACTGTCAACTCTCACACACTCTCACAGACTGCAGCTCAGATGAGGTAAAAGATGAATAGGCATACGAACATCTATCTAAACGTTAGACGCTCTGATTTACTAATAGTGGAGGGCGACCTAATTTTTCTGGTAGGTAGATGTATCAAATGCTGTTTGCGTAGAAGCTTTAGATCTCGGTTGTATCTGCCGAACTGATAGATGCTTGAAAAATCGTCCCATTTGGCTCTGGACACGTAAAAAAGGGGAGTAGTTTCAAATTTAGGGTGATGGAAAGCCTTCACGATAATCTAGAACGGTTGTGCTTAGAGAAAACAAGAGAGATGGAAATAAATGACAATAAGTAATAGTAGATTAATGTTTAGAGTTTTCATAATAACTAGTTAAATTAATCTCATTATTATAGTGACAACCTCGAAAAATGATTTGCTTACGATTCGTTACTAATCCAGGATAATGGACTGATAGGCACAACACTTGAGGGTCACTTTGAATGGCCTTCATGCATACTTTGGTTACTCACGATCTACAGTCAACCTGAATGGCAAGTTGATGTAAGTCCTATAAATCTTGAAAAAGTTGAAAGAGGTATCGGAAATCATGAGCGATGTAGGGCAGCAGCACCTGAAAGATTCACCGCTGAGATTTTTTAGGATGGTGAACAAGTCCTGGCAGGTAGATTGATTGAGATATTTGGTTGAATTTCGAACTAGACTTAATCCCATCCTACCGGACTAACAACTGACTGTCTGAATATGTAAGAAAGAACTTGAGTCCACTTGTGACAATCACAGAGTAATCAGGCTAACTAATAATGTATGAAAGCTGTCGTTATTACTTCGACGAGTAACTAGAGCAGACTTGAAAAAACCAGATAGTTCTCACAAATCTTAAAATTGTGGATTCCCCATCGCATCTACCTTTCTTAATTTCTATTTTGTTTCACTGCATCATGATTCTGGAAAAATATCTTGCAGCGCAAATCTTCCCCACAACCGCTAATGCTCCTAATAGCTCAACTGTCATGGAAATCGAAATGAAGATTGCGTCTCTGTGCTAATGTACTTATGGACGTAACCAAGAATGAAAAACCTACGTACGTTCTAACTGACTCAGTGAGTGTAATATCAACACACGGAACAATTAAATAAATGTTCAGTTCATGAGTGGGCGAATTCTTTTGTACATTTTCACAAACTTGATGTTTAGGAGAAAACGAAATTGGTTTAACCTCACCTGAATACCGGCTGTAAATTTCTGATCATGCCTATCAGGATGACGTGCAACTGTGACGTCAAAATATATATCTGCAGATGTCGGTATACATACTCCAAGAAAACTCTCACACGTTTACTAATACAAATAAAACATGGTGATGAAGTAGAAGAACAGCATCTTATGTAATTTTCTGTTTTAAAGCGCGTTAATCGTGGATTTAGATATTTCATATTGTTTACTTATTAGATTAAATAAAACATTACCTACCATTTGAGACGACTCAATCGAGGATTTTATACCAACACAAAAGCTCGTTATTAATAGCTATTGGATACTGTAAAACTGTTTAATATTCTGAAGGTTAGTTTACCTTATTTGAGGGTATTTAAATCTCAGGGTCATGCTGTATACAGCAACTTGTACTAGAGGTATGTTGATCAATACAATCCACATAATCTCTACTTTAGGCACCGTGGAAGAGCAAAGAGCGATTGCATCTTCCATATGTATCGCTATATTAGGAGTGTTGTGTGCTTCTTGTGCATACTATTGAACTGCAACTTACATTCCATTTTGCTAAATGGAAAATCAAATTTCGCTACTGCGGATGTCTTATTTACTATTCCTCAACTATCGGTATACTCTCTGTTATCAATATTAAATTCTTGTAGGTCATTAGTGGTATTAGATCTCATGCTTTGTACTTGACAATTCACTTGAATTCGAGCGCATCTCCTCAAAATTGTTTGAGATCCATTAGAAAAATCAAGGTATGTTATGTAGTTTTACTCTCAATATATAATGCACTGTTGGAGCACACACATGTCTGCTGCTGTAAATAAATAACAATTATTTATATCCAATATGTAATTTGTGTGAAACTGAGAGGTGTACAAATAATTAAAATTGATGGCTAGGTCGTTGCTCAGTAGTGCTCTCTCGTTGACGCCATAAAAATGTTCAGTCAGACAATTTAAAAGTTATGTCGAGTAGAGTAAAAGTTACTATCGACCTCATGAATATTCCAGTTTGATAGTCGATTGATACTTCATTTGTACCACTATGCTATTGCACCTTCAACACTTTGTGCTTCAAACAACCTATAGTTTACGAGTTAGAGTTGTTAAACTTTTTGATTCTGTTGCACATTACTTGAAGATAATTGAGTTGAGTATCATAGTTTAGTTGTGTTACAAAACTGTCTGGGATGTGCTTTGCAAGAATAAATAGGTCTTTACACGTTTCTCGCTGCTGGTCGCTTACTTCTTATTGCATTTATTCATGATCAGTAAAGATAAAGTATTAATTCTTGTATTTACTCATTGATTAGAAATATGTTCGTGAAATCCGTTCACGTTATATGTGTCAACCACATTATGAAATTCTATACGGTATCGGTTTCGGAATCGATTTCTTCAGGAATATTAGTCCTGATTTCGAACTGAGAGGAGTCGAGAATTTCGAGTACCGTGAAAGATCAGGACAGTATGGTAAATTACCTAAAACAGGTGAGTTTCGTGTTATTGCACATTAGTAAACTGGTCATTTCTATTTAGTCTGCTCAGGTTTCGTTAGAATGATTTTTGTTGGTATGGTTTACGGCTTTATGCTTTTGATGATATATTACCAAACACAATCAAAAGGATCGTTCCACCTTTCCTATTGAAAAGAAAAAGGCAAGTGCATGTTGTGAAAGGTCGTGTTTCCAACTCTTCTCATCATCGTTCCCGATAAGGAGTATGTTGCTTCAAACAAGCTGCTCAGTTGTGAATTTACTTTGATGAGAAGCATAAAACGGGGTTTTGAATGTGGAATTTTGTAAGCTGATTGCCTAATTTTCTGAAGTATATTGACTGAGTGCCCCAGCCTTTGACAGTTATGGAGTCTAATGAAAACCTTTTTCTGTAGCCTAATGGGAATTTGTATCATGATATGCAGTAACCAGATATTTGTTAGTGTCATTTCTAAACAGCTGTTTTAATGATGTTGTAGGTGGTGATATATTTGTCCATGCGAAATGTGATGATCATGGCATATTGTTTGAATTAGCCAAATCCATTATCGGCAATATGCCACCTGAATGTGTGACGAAATTTGAAGATATTTACGGTTGGACTTATCGTGATGAGCGTGATTTGAGTGGATTCGTTGATGGTATGTCACTAAACGGATAATAGTTTCGTGTTGTTTGTTGAATGTTGATTTGATTTGATATATAAAATGGTGTAGCCTGAATCTGATTTCCTATGACTGCGAGATTATCATTGACATTCATCAAGAATTTGTTGTAAACTCATCATGTTCAACAATTCAGTCTACATTTTGTGTCGTTAACAGCTTTCAGTATATACTTTTATCTCCTGGAAGTGTGCTTTCTACAAAAGCCATTCAGTTTGGTACTCAAAATCTACTAAGTATTTTAGATACTCTTAGGAATTCATGTTACGAAAGAAAGCATATTTCAACAATTCTGTTTACATAAAGTTGTAAATCGCTTTGCAAAAAACGAATAAGACTTTCATTTTATGAGATGCATTGAAGTGTGGTCAATGCAATTTAACTTTGATTGTACTAAGTTGATATCAGTTTCCGAATAACAACATAACATTGTCAACTTTTATCTTATTTTATTGACAAGGCACAGAGAACCCTAAACCTGTGAATGAACGAATTGAGGTGGCAATCAACAAACAAACAGGTGGAAGTTATGCTGTTGTTCAGAAATGGGTTCACAATATGAGTTTGCTTCAGAACACAGAACGTGAGTGATATCATTTCAAATGAATAATACATCTGGTTGTTTGATAAACTGAGATTTTAGTGTTTTTTTGATGTACATTGAATAAGCTGTTGTAGATCAACAGAGAACTAGTCGATCTGCCTCCATTATTGTGCCTAACTAACACGACGACCAAATCCAACGAAGATCTTCTGTAGGCTACATTTTAAACGATAATTGATCATTAGCTGTCATCAAAAGCTTTGCGAAAGCATCAACTGACCATATATTTCATTTTCATTGATCTGAATTAGCTATAAGTTAAATTCAAATCTTGACAATTTTATTTTTGGTTTTATAGATCAAACATTAGAAAAATGGGTTGGTCGAACAGTGAAAGACAGCATTGAATTATCAAATAAAACGGATAAATCACATGTTGCTAGAATGGTTGGATGTAAGTGATAACTGTGTAATGCATATTGTGTGTGTGTGTGTGTGTTAAGCTTTCCTTATTTGACGACAACTAAACTGCCTTGAAAAGCTGTTGACTTCTTGGTTTGATTTAGTGCGGTTCTATTCAGCAATTGATATTTCACAAATAAATCGATTTGTCTCTTAATATTTTCTCAAATTTGTATCATTTGTTGACGGAGTATGAGGAGATTCGTTTGTATCGCACTATTCTCTATTTCTTAACATTGAACTGCTGCTATTCATATCTCAATTCATCTCACCTAGATTAGTATTCTCATTTTTATATTAAAAAACATGGCTTTCGTTTATCATCTTCACTGGGTTCTAGTGTTCTAAATAGATTCAAACACCATGAAAGTTGAATTTCTAATCATCAAATGTCAATTGAAAAATATATGCTTTCTGATTTGACATTGAACAATGTGAATGCATGTGTTTTGAAGCACTAAAAACTTGTTCAATTTTAATTGCTGTACAATGATCAATGTTTGTTTGTTTTTCTGTATCTCTTATTATTATTATGAATAGCTGAAAAATTCGGAGCCGAAAAGAAGTATCAAATTGTTCGACAATCTCAACCTTATGGTACTTTATCAGGTGATGCTGGTCTCTTATTCATCGCTTATGCAGCAAATATCAAAAATTTCGAATTCATGTTAAATCGTATGACTGGTGATGGTGATGATAAGAAAGCTGATTACATAATGTTATTTTCACGTTGTGTAACAGGAAATTATTATTATTTTCCTACTCTATGTGAATTAGACGATTTATTCGGTAATTATTGAAGTAGGATTTTATTTGTAATGATGAAGTGTCATATGTGAAAATGTAACTGCCCAAATAACAAATTCACCACTTTCTGCCTTATTTGTAATAAGAAAATGAATTTCATTATTATCAAAATTAAGTATAAATTTACAAAATGAATGTCTAATGTGTTTTTTAATTTTTCGAACTGAACTAAGAGACGATGATCCTCTGTGGTTGTTGATGCTGTTGATAAGAAGTATCTCAGTGATGACAGTTCATGTAGAAATCATTAGCACGGGTGTGTTTTCATTATAACACTATGGTGCGATTGAATTGATGGATCGCATAGTGATAGACTACCACGAAGACTAGTATTTAGTCGTAGTAGGTGACTAATGAGCAGCGCGCCTCCACAACTGATGCAAGTCAGAAACGGACTGAAAACTTCAGTCACTTGTGAAAACGCCTAATCTTTTGATCATTGATCTGACATCTGAAAATGTGAATGTTTAACTTCGATAATGTATGTTATTTTGCGACTGTGTGCATCGTGTTCGATGAGAAACAGCTTCACACATGACTCAGTTTGACTTTATTGGTCACTGGTTATCACTGGAACTATGACAATTCTCTCATAGCGCTATCCACTAGTGGGTACATGATGATTGTCATTATGGTGTTGTGGTTTCTAAGTGAGAAATTTTACACACTTCCACCAGCAGTGAAAAATATCTGTTAAGGAATGATTTTATTGGATTTATGTAAATCATGAGTGATAAGAAGACGTCATGATTTTGTTGTGTGAAGTGACCACTAATGGAAGACGTCGGAGTAGTTGATGTTTGGAATGATGAATCAATATTTGTTAGAACACGATATCAAAGGTGAAATCAGTAGATGGCCGTTTTGTACTCGTTACGGACTAATCAGCATTAGGCATTTGTGTATGTACTGTTCGGTTGGATGCAGTATATAAAAGCGAAAATCATAGGAGTGCAAAGTGATCATCCTTAACATTCTTTCATATTGCTCCTGGAGATTTTAACTCCAATGAAGTAAATAATGCATTACACAGAAATCTTTCACACAACTCTTTCACTGACTTATCCACTCTGATATGTCCATCGTACAAAACAAATTCAGTAACAAAACCAGAAAACAGATAGTGGTGATAGGTTGATCAAAGTTTGGTGTTTAAAACTGTTTAATTTAAGCAGTTACATACTACCGATATTATGATTACTATTGTCAAAACTGGTTAATGTTTCTGACATCTACTCGATAGACGTAATACGACCTTAGCAAAAATCAGTCACATGTCGAATAATCTCATCAGTTTCATATCAAATGTTTAGATTTGTTGAATGTACTCATCGAAATTAGTAAGAATATACTTCTCTGACATTTCAATGTACAGGAATTTTTACACTGTCGGATAACAAGTTATACCACTGAATGTGAAATACAATAGATACCATATACAATTTTTCTCTTGGTTATTCAGCGACGAAATAATATATGCATTGCAACTGATTTGTTTGAATGCAGTGTGGTTAAGAAAGCTGCTTTCAATGTTTCATTAAGTGTAGTCATTATTTGAATGACATGTACTAAGCTGACGTTAATTAAGATACCATATGATGTCACTAACACAACATAAATCAGTGACACTAGAACACGAAAGATAAGCTGTACTCTGTGCCTCAATCTAGCTAACTAGAGTAATCAACTGAAATTCAGAAAGTAGATTGTGCCATCGTTAACCAGACTCAAACGACTGATTTAACAACCATTCAATTGCAGTCTAATTTAAAATGCAATACATACAGCATCGTTTGAAATGTAACAGAAGAGAGCGCGATAAGAAGGAACTAACCAATGAGATTTAAGGTCATTTCAAGTAGTCAACGCATACTGAAGTGAATATAAGAAGCTAGATAAGAGGACAGTCGAAATGTCACAAGTAAATTACAAAAATTAACATTTTGATGGATCCTTCCACTAAAACAATATGTGAATAACAATCAAATTGAATCATGATTATATTCATGTTAATGGTTTCATACGGACTGTCACATTAACTTACAAATGATTGACAGTCTGCATTTCGCACACAGACAATCACGTTTCACAGAACACTCATCGGACCTGTATATGGATAAGAACAACGTATTGTCTTTACTGTACCCTGTTATTTAATCAAGATTTTATTCGGCATTCGAAACTTTTGACATTTCACATCAGTTTATGTAGAATGAGCTCAGTTCTATACATATTGGATCCAGTTTGTAAGCGAATCACTCAGACAGGCTACCAGTGTAAAATAAATAGTATCACTGATTCAAATAATTTCTATGATTTGTAAATTCGATACGTGTAATTTCGCTACTTCACAATTGAATGATGTGAGCAGTACACTTGATGTGAGCAAACTAAGTTGCAATGTCTTTCATTTTGAATCACTACAATTGTTTAGTTGTTTTATTTTGTGAGAAAAGTAGTTATTTTCAAATGCTCAAATTATCTACTTTGAATATGTTAGAATTATCGAAAGTCACATTTATTACCAGGATTCTTTATGTTAATTTGATAGTTTGTGTGATAAAATGGATCTAATGTTTGTGTGAACCAGTGATAAGAAAGTTGCATAATTTGAGATGAAAAGCCGTCTATCATTTGAACTAACCATTTATATCGCTAGTTGGATGAGTTCACGTTGAGATAGAGAATGCAACAGAATTTCACACTTGAACTTCTCAATCTACTGTTTCTATTGACTTCTTACAGTATGAGGAATTAGAAAAGCAGGATAATTAATGTTCAAGACAACAACCACAACTATATAGACTGCACCTACTCTAAAGTGCGAGTTCGAAATTCCCTGTCATTCACAGGCTATTGATATGATTGTCTTTGATCGACTGTAGCTTTTATGTAACCTTAATCAATCTAAACCATCCGTCATCACTTGTAGAAGTATTCAGTGAATATCGAAACAGAATACAACTCGTAACCATCTCAATCGATAGAGATTCACTCAATCACACAACGTTTAAATGTACTCACTCAACTCAAAATTCGTTCATTGTCTTGTACCGAAATACAATTTACTAAATGAACATTTGTCGTGATCTAAACTAAACTCGTTACGACAAAAAGTTCATTCATCGGCCTCTTCATCGACTTTCATTTCGTGAAATCATTA